AAATGTAGCAGCTGCACCGAAACACAAACAGGCAAACAACAAAAAGAACGCGAACGTTGGAAGTTTTGAAATCAAAGAAATGCAGCGAAAATAGATATGGAAAAGTCGACTCTGACTTTAGTCAAAAATCGACTTTTCGCTGAAAAAACTCGACTTTTTGAATCGACTTCAAGCATCTTCGGGTTGACTAGAATCGACTCTCGCTCGACGATTTTTCGCCTTTTTTCTACTAAGCATCTATTTGCGGCCGCTGTGGTTGGCAGTGCGCGCTACCACTTCGCTGCTCCTGGGTTCAAGCCCTGGTCAAAGCAACATCGTAAACAAAATATAGAAAAAAGGTTTTTCCTTATCAGCGGTCGCCCCTCGTCCCACCTAACTGTATGAGAACTTCAAGGAGAACACTAATATATGTGTAAGCGCCAATCTACTACCTTTGTTTTTATCTATTTGATGGTAACGTTATTAGATAATTTTTAAGTTTGACCATCCTATTCCAGTAGTGTTATTATTTCATTTATTATTATTATCGTGCATTATAGCAAAACCGCCACTTCCATTATGAAATATTCAAAATATGGCAATATAATATTTAAATAAACTGCATTCAGCAAGAAGCGCTCAATACTACAGATAACTTTATAATGGCTCCAAGTTTGATATTCGCTGACTGCTCAAAAATTTACAAATCACTCGATGAATATATGTGGCTTTCTTAATAATGTCATATTTATATTTAATTTTAAATTTCAATGCCAAATCGTGTGCAATTAATTGATAAAATATAATTTTTTAGATTATTAAAACATATTTTTATGTTTATTACTTACTAAAGTAAGTATTAATTTTTCAAAGTCAATTTATGTCATAAAGTCGACAACAAGTGGTGATTAATCGACTTTAAGAATCGAAAACCGGAAAGTCGATTCCGAGGTCAAGAATCGATTCTGCGGGCGTCCCTTCAATCCCTTAAGGCCCGTCCACATACAACTTTGGCGTTGCGTTGGCGCTGGCGTCGCTTTGACAGCGGCGCGCGTAACGCCCGTGCTTGCTACAATGAGCGCTTAGCACAGAATACTTTGGTCACTAAATTAACATACTAGCGGCTGATAAATCAAAATTTTTACATCAATAATTGCATTAAAAACTATATTTCTTGCCCGCATTTGATTAAAAATTAAAATTAAATCACATAATTTTGATTATTTAGAACAGATGACGAACGACGCGCGCGAAAAGTTGAGAGTTGGCCATCTTTCTGCGTTGTGTTGGCGTTGGCGTTGCCCAACTTTGGTTATATGGAGACTTTCATATAAATACATGTATTCATAGTCAGCTGTCGAAGCGACGCCAACGCCAACGCAACGCCAAAGTTGTATGTAAACGGGCCTTAAAGCTCGTCGGCGATTTCAAGCATCCGTTGTTGGTTACCCCAGCAACGAGTACATGTGTGAGTGTCGGGTTGAATGTCGGGTGCTTGAAGCTTGCCCGGCGACACTCAAGCATAAAGCGTCAACACCATTTGCAATACAATTTCGTAGTGGGCGGACGTAAACATGTCTTCATCGGATGACGATTTTTTGCTACTTGCCACTAAAATCTTTATCTTCCCCGAACTTGCTCATTTTACATATCACAACAAACTAACACACTAATGCTTGTCAACGCTTTGCGCCACTATCAAACAGACCGCTTGTCAAGCGGCGCGTTGCTGGAAAATCAAAAATTTTTGAAATCGAACGGCCAGCACGATTTGCTGGGTGAACCGAACAACCAGCACGCCAATTTTTCAGGGTGGCAGTATGCTATTTTGCGAAAAAGTATTAGTATTAAATATTAGAATAGTAAAAAATATTATTATTATTATAAAGTAGATATTAAAAAAATATTATAAAAATTAAATATTACAGAAAAAAAAATATTAAGTTGTTCCATTTTTAATTTTCCGACTTCAATTTTGATGCATTTTTAGTTGCATTTTTACTTCAGTGCTGCCATTGTGAGCGAAATTGTATGAAATGGAAAACGGCATTTCTTAAAAAGCAACCCTGTGCTCGCCAATCAGCAAACAGAGCGTAACCACTTCTCACCAATCACCGAAATTTTTCTCTTTTCATTGCCAATCAAAATTGGTGGCATAACCACGGCCTAAGCGAAAATTATTTTGATAGTGCTGCCATACAACAACATATGATGCTTATCGATATATTTCAGCGATCAATAGCTGATTGGCCCAAAACACATGCAAGTAAGGGCCAGAACAAACGGGCGCGGTATAATATAATATCTCATACCATGTTCTGACCGACAACGAAAACACTTTGAAAACGAGTTTTGGAATTGTGGGCTGAAGGCTGTTCACACCGGCTGTTAGTGTTTTCGTTGACATTTCTTGCATCCTCTGATTGCAGTTTTGCTACACAAAAACGAAACCAAAATACTTTTCCCACATTTTCTTGTCCTTAGCAATCTCTTACTTTCATTCTTATTTTAGTTTGGCCAGCCAATTAAAAATAAATACGAAATAGCGTATTAAAAATGAGAAAATACGACTTCCACTTCGATAAATAATCGAAAAAAACGAGTGAAGACACCGATTGGAATGAGTGGAACGTGAGTTTTCAAGTAGTTTTCAGCGAAAACTGGTTTTCGTTTGACGGATTTTACATGGACGAAAACACATGCTTTAGGTCGAAAACCAGTTTTAGCAACGAAAACATGTTTTCGATGCCGGTCAGAACATGGTATAAAGTAGGTTTAATCAGCAGCATGTGTGATTTATTTAGCTCTTAAGTTTGACAAACCGCTTGAGACGTCCGGCATGCCGTTTTAATCCTCAGTAAAATGGAAAATAACACAATTAGGTGAGTTGATAGGCGGGTTTAATATTCCATTCAATTGGGAGTAGGATTTTCAACATAGATTTTTTCGTTATCGATATTGTTCAGCCCGATATATCGCCATATCGATTTTACATGCAATGAAATAAATCGATTCATGATATCGATACTTTTTTAAATATCGAACATTCCTGCAAGCTCTTGGCTCAATCCTTATCCATTCGTCCTGGAATGTACCCGCCAGAAGTCCGATTGCTTTATAAAAAAGAGAACTATTTTGAAATATGAGTGTTTTTACTCTCTAGAAAATAATTTAAGCAACCTCAAACCTTTTTGATGCGATATTCTTAGTTTAGTTTGTACTTTTCGTAAATCGAAATATCTAAGCCCACTGACGATTTCCAACAATTACTACTTCTAACAAAAAATAAAAAAAATCAATATATAAAAATTAGCCAGTGTCTTGCTGTTTTAGACTGCGTTTCACCAGATTAATTTAAGTGGAATGTAATTTTAATTTAATTTTGTATTTAATTCTCAATTAATTTTTTTTCAGTTTCAGAATTTAGTATGTTCCAATAGCAGTCCGGTTTACAGGATTTAGTCAGAACTTACAGGAAGTCGTTCCTATTGACATAAAACCTGTAAGTGGGAACACATTTGAGAGAGTAACTGAGCAACTGTTCCTAGTCAGAAGTTACAGGATTTAGTCCGGAGTTTNTTTTAATAATTATTTAGTGATATTTCAGCTAAATCAGTGTTGTACAAATGACATGTAAACAAACCGACTGACGTTTTTACAGGAAATAGTGCTTTTTGCGTTCCTATGCACTTCTGCATCTGTTCTCCTTTTACTCTCATTTGAGAGAGTAAAATTGTAGTTTGACAGTTCCACAGGTTTTAGTCCGAAGTTCAAAGGAACAGACTAATTAATTTGTATTTACAGGGTAAGTTGCCTTTCCATATGTAAAAAGTGACATCTACAGATACAAATACATATCGTCTAAAACAACTTTTACGAAACTTTCACCCCTATTGCGAGTGTCGACTGGCAGTAGATAAACGACTATTAAGCGATTATCGATTATCGATGGTATTGTGAGTGTCGCTTAGTCGCTCAATTAGCGACTGTGAATACATTTTAATCGCTCATCCTTCTATTGCTGTTTTTTAGTCGTTGGAGTTTGCGTTTATAAAATTTACATAAGAAAGTGGTACTATAATGGATAAAAAGTAAGTCAATTGAATTGGAAGTTGTAAAAAATTGTGAAATATACATATGTATGTACATATGTGTCTGAATTACAGATCAAAAATTGTAAGCAACAAAAGGCAACTTGCGCGGTTGGTCGAGCTGATGCAGGAGAGTGAGGACATAGGCAAAGGAATTTCCGTAAAGAGCAGGAGAGGAAGCTCCGCTTCTTTTGTGAAAGATATACAATATTTCTTGTGCATATAATTCCGGCTACGCCATCCACAGTGTTTTTGCGCAGAACCAACATCAAAGTTTACAAAAAACTGCATAATTTATTAATTAACTAGTGCTCGGAAACTTGAAATCTTTGTTAAATTAAAGTTTAATTCTTTCACTACACTTGTATGTTAAAGTTTTAAAACTCGGGTCACGCGTTTGGACACAAATACTCAACATCATTGTACAGATAACTAAACGGTACCGTATTTCTTAAACTTCCATAAAATGTATTAATGAGGAAAACAGCTTTTCCTGCAAATCCTGTAAAACCTAAAAACCTTGAAGCATCGGGAACGCAGCTTCTATTCATAAAATTCACATATGTACATACACTTCATCTTCCAACTCCAAGGGATCCGACGAATCTCGCAATTCCCTCCTTGCTTTAGCCAACTCTACTAATCTATTAGCTTCCACATCATCTTCCTCATCACTAAACCATATTTCAACTGTGTCCATTTTTCTAATTTTATAATAAAAGCAATTATTTTAAAAATGATGTAAATGAAACATTAAAGAAACAAATGTAAACAAACAAGCAGCTGTTTACAATTCCGTCAACCATTCACAATAGTACACATTTTTATCGATCAAGTTACACAATAGCAAAATAAAAGATGATCGACTCGATCGACAAATTTCTATTCTACTGCCAGTCGACACTCGCAATAGGGGCCTTTATGTTAAAACGGGACGAATTCCTCTGGTAAACTCACTCGCTACATTTCACTCGCTACAGACTCAATCGCTACATTTCAGCGTGTTGTCCCTTATAAATTTGCGTTCATTAAAATTGTAAAAATCGAGAAATGGTAGCGGTTTGCGGAATGCGCCAACTTTGCTCGTGCATAGTGCGTTCACACGATTGAACATCACACCATGTTGTTGTACATGTGTGATCGTGTAGTCCGCTGTAATCTTTGAACTCTACGATTAATCGATCTTCAATTTAATTCAAATAGTTTTCTCTATATTAAAATAAAAAATTAAAATCGGTGTTTGAAGTTCTGTTTGTCCATGTTGATCCGTAAAGCTTTTGGCTATCCCTACATCCTTAATTCTTAACTTAGTTTTGTTAAGTATTAAACTTATTATTGCAAGTGAAAATCGCATTGATTGTTAGTATTGAAGTGAACTCCAACATAGTCTGTACCGCAAATATTTGCAAACTTCCGGGTTTTTCTAGAGGAGTTTAATATTTTATTCTGCTTGATTTTTTGGTAAGACAAACTTAAATTCTAAAATAAATTGTATCTTCATATCCGAGCGTAAACGAGAATTTTTTGGCTATTTGTACAATGGTTTTCTGTTGTTGGTGTGGGAGAGGGGGGAGATGGGGTGTGAAATCAAAAACCCAACCCATTGGAAATAGCACAGTTCAAACTTAAGGAAAAGTCATCCCTCGCTATTTATAGTATTTTTGGAACAAATGCAAATCAAAAAAATATATGGGAATCGATAGAGATATCATAGAGACGAACATAACGATACTTTTTTTTTGCAGAAAAAACTCCCAAGAGATCAAAAGTCAAAGTTAAAAACAGCATTTTTCGAAATCGAAGTTTCTCAAAATCCCATGGTTAGATTTTAAAACTTTGGGAAATGTTTAGTTATTTGTACAACGATTTTGTTGGTTGGGCGGAGGGGAGGGGGCCCGCTCTAAAAGAAATAGGATGAACCGCGCTTTATGAAAAGCCATCGCTTTCCCTCCCTTACTTTTGTCTACAAGTGTGTGTAAAAGTTTTTCGATTCGGTGCACAAACTACTAAACCGGACCCACAACTTTTGTTGTCATTTCATAGGAACTTTGATTTTCTTTAATTTGATATTTTACAGGAAAAGCTGTTTTCGCCTTCAATAAACCTTATATGAACGTGGCGTACGGGAACAGCTTCCTTTAAAACCTGCAAATCCTGGAGTACGGGAACAGGCTAATACTTTACAGTGTGGCGACGAATAACTGTTATACCGGCTTTTATTTTTTTTTTGCAAAATAGAAGGGTTCTCTATAGATTTTGCGAAGAAAGTATTTTATAGTTAATTTTGTACATATTTTACTTCAATTTTATTAATTAGTTTTAAAATTTGAATTCTTATATGTATTTGCCAGCAGTGTAAACGTTCGGAGATATTGTAGGTGAATTTTTTCTCAGACTTTGTATATAAAAAAAGGAAAAAATAAAAACTGTAAAGGGTTGTTCAAATTAAGGACCGTCCTAGAAACCAGTTCCGAGTCTATTCGATTACTGAGTATGAGGTCTTATATTGGAAAAAATGGAGAGTACCTATAAAGCACTCAAAATGGAGGAAATTAGCCTTTGGTTCAGAAGATACGGAATAAATTAAGCGGCGCAGACGCAGACTTCTCTCAAAGTGTTTAGTGTAAAGGTTACAATTTAAAAACAAATTGATAAAATCAAAGTACAATCTGTAAAAAATTATAAATAACGTATCTACTCTCTTCGCAACATCTATTATTTTTCTAAAAAAATTGGGTATAAAACTATCCACATTACAGCATAAATTACATCTTTTCGATTAAATTACTCCACATAAATGAAGCAAGTTCACATTTTCTTTCATAATTTCTATAGCACGTGTACGTACGAGTGTGTGGTTTGTACTTGATTTCAAAAAAGCAAATCGTTGCATACCTTTAGGCATTTCTTCAAATGGGGGCTAAAATAAATGAAAAGAGGAGCACAATATTAAACACAAAAATATGTATTCGTTCTTGAGAAATTTTGATTTAAAAAATTTTTTAATTTGCGCTTTGAGCTTTGACGACTCTTGTAGTTGTTGTTTTCGCCAAAGCATGCCTCAATGATCTCTATCGATCTCCTTAAATATTTTTTTTTTAATTTGAGAGTCTGAGCTATTCAGTATTTATGCCGTATTTTTTGTGCAGAACATCTTCCCCCGTTGGCTTTCTTCAGCCACTCGTCGAAAAAAATAACCTTCCTCAGTACAACTCCAGCCATGCTGATTACAATATTACTGTGCGGAATTTCTTTTCGGGTTGGCTCCCTTTGGCCGCGCTTCAAAAAAATAACCCCTATGAGTCGAACTACAGCAGCGCCATCCACAGTATTTTCGCGCAGAACTCTCATCGAAATTAAAAAAGTGCATATTTCAAATCGAATTTATAATAAATAATTATTATTAGTTGGCGGCCGCTGTGGTGTAGTGGTTAGCAGTGCGCGCTACCACTCCGCAGTGCCTGGGTTCAAACCCTGCTCAAAGTAACATTGCAAAAAAATATAGAAAAAATGTTTTTTCTTAAAAGCGGTCTCCCCTCGGCAGGCAATGGCAAACCGCCGAGTGTATTTCTGCTATGAAAACCAGCTTCTCATAAAAATACAATCGCCGTTCGGAGTCGGCGTAAAACTGTAGGTCCCTCCCTTTTGTGTAATAACATCAACGCACGCCACAAATCGGAGGAGAAGCTCGGCCAAACACTAACATATGGTAAGCGTCTAATCTATTATTATTAATAAATTATTGCTCGGAAATTTTAAATCTATATTTTGAATTAAAGTTTAATATCTTGACGTGTATGTTAAAATGTTTTTATTCGGGTGGCCTTTTTGGACACAACCCATAATCTTGTACAAATAATACGTTGTTTACGTGAGGCGATTTTACAGGCAAATTTTAGTTGAAAGCAACAATCGCCTAGTGTGAACCGCGTTTCTACTAATCGTTTTGAATGAAGTCTTTTCGATTCAGCACGATTATGAGAACTGGGGGGACAAAGTTTGGCCATGGACGTCGATAAAGGTTTTTGGAGAAAGTATAACGGTACATTTATTTTTGTGGCAAATGAAAACTGTAGGACTTACCAAGGCTCAAATATCACATTAAGCATTTTTTTAAAATCCAAATATGTATCTCGAAAACGAAAGCCCGGATTTCAATTGGAAATATGAATGCCTTTAATACGATATACAAATGCTTAATATGTTTTGTAAAGTTTTACCAAAAATCGAATTTATGGAAAAAATAGAAACAATTAAAAAAAAAATTATGTTACGGTTTGTTTCATATTTAGAACGTATTTTACTTAAATGGACAGAAATAACTCCCAAAAAAATTTTTCATAAAGCGGCGTCAATCCTCTTTCGTTTAGGGGGGAAGATCATAATAATATATATATATGTATATACATACATACCAAATTAAGGGTAATAACTCGGACTTTCTATATAACCAACCAAAATCACATTGAGTCCATATTGGAAGGGGTTGAAATTCACTCGCAGGTGAATTGCAGAACCTGCCTGAACGCAAATTTTTTAGCATTAATACTGCAATTTTTAAACAAAGGTATTTTTGGTATTTGGTAAATTGGTTATGCGGTAACATACACTAAAAAAAAAAATTAATCCGAATTGATAATCTCCTCCTTTTTTTGAAGTCAGTTAAAAAAACATTTGAAAAACATATATCCATCACATGAAAGACAAATTAATTATTTTTATTTTGGCAACACTCGTTTTCCAATCGGTTATCTAGTTGTGAGATATCAATATTTCGAAATATCCAAAAATTTCACTTAACCTCAATTTAAATGTCAATTTATTTGTTTGATATCGTTTATACATTAGTACATTAAGATTAAATCTTTTATTGCACAATAAAGAAAAATAAAAAATTAAAAAAATTAAAACATTAAGAACCTATAAGTATATAAAGTATTATACAAAGTTCTTCTAATTTTTTGCTGCTGGAGGACTCCAGCTTTCCGATGGCATGTTCAAAATTTGTCGACCCGGTTATCGTAATCACCCCTTTGATTTGACTTAAGGCCTCTAAAATAGTCTGTAAAATCGCCTCATGTAAACACGGTATCACCGAACCGTACCCGTGTAAATAAATGACATTACAATTACTTATACATATACATATATCTTCAATACACTGTTAACCATCGTTTTAATAGCACCAGCGCATTAATAGCACAACAACAACAAGGCGAAATACATAACGACTTTATCTAAAAAAGCAATTTTGAATACGAGTTGCAATGGCTACAAAGTGTACACGTCAACTACTCTCCGATGTGAATAGCTGTGACCTGCCTGATTTCATTAAGAATCTAGTTAACAAAATATGCGACTTCTACGATGAGCAGGATTATATAGATGTAACATTTAAGTTGTCTAACCCCATTGCTATGTAAGTTTTCAACTTACTTATGCATGTAAAAAATATTTATTTGATTTCCATTTTTACAGGATTCCAGCACATCGCTTGATACTGTCAGCAGCAAGTCCTTACTTCAACGATCTTTTCAAAAGCGAAAATGGCCTAGCTCCTGTTATCGAATTGAACGACATAGATAGTGACACCTTTGAGCGTCTTATGACATTTTGCTACACCGGCAAAACGCTAATAACCATCGAAAATGTGGACGTAATGCTGAAGGCAGCAATGGTTTTGCAATTACGTGATGCGGTTCTCAGTTGCGTTGATTATATTTTGGAGCATATAACTGAGTTTACACTTAAGCGGGCTTATGACTTAGAGCGTGAAACTCAGTGTATACAACTGTATGAGAAACTCTCAAAATATGAAATAGAGAATTTTATCGAGGTAAACGTTTTGGGTTGGCCTGTCTTATATTATGTTCATATTAACTTCTTATTTTTCTAGGTGAGTCAGAGCGCTGAGTTTTTAAATTTCAGTACTGAGAAGTTACAAGCAATCATAGAGGCTGATAATTTGAATGTGAGTTGTGAGCAAGACGCCTTCCGTGCGATAAAACGATGGTATGAGTACGATGCCTCTGCACGTCAAAAAGAACTGCCAGTTCTAATCGATTGCTTACGTCTTACGCAACTCGACGTATGCTTTTTAATGGAGAACGTTCAACCATTGCCAGGATGTGAAGTGTTGGCATTAAGAGCAATATCGTGGATAAGTGCGCCATCAACACGTTCGAAAGTATCGTTAAAATTTTCAGCAGCACGAGAAAATGTGTGCAAAAAAACGGAGGAAACGGAGGAAACGGAGGAAACGGAGGAAACGGAGGAAACGGTATTGTTAGCGGTGCAAGTATCGGTAAGTTCAAGCAACTAGTTATTAAAAAATTTCGGAGCTTAGCTCAACGGTTACCGTTGCTGACTTTAAGCACCGATGGTGGTCTTTCGATCCCTGTTGAAGTCTAGAAAAAAAATTTTATGAGATGTTGTGATTTCCGAAAAAGCAGATATGTTGCTATAACTTCTACCACTTGGATTTGGTTGCTTTTTAAATTTCGACTAAAAACAAATAGTAGCATAGTTTTAGATCTATATAGATATTTCCACTGGTGAAACCAAATTGGAAACAACGGTCACCATGTTTAGACCACACATCTACAGCCCGCGATAAAAGATAGCACATCAAAAATTTTACCAGTTTTGACTACTTTTCTTTTGCTTTTTTTAAGGTTCATTAATTTTTTATTAAAGTTAAAACAAAAACCAAATAAGTCCAAATTTCAATCTTTGTGCAAGAAAAAATATATTAAAAATTCCACAAGCTTTTCATCCCAATTCCAAGTATTTGAATTCGAATTTCTAAACTAATTTTTGGTATGCAGTTTTACAGCTTATTAAAATCTAGTATAATAAAGATAAGATAAAGATAGTTTGGAGTTACTAAAAATCGCATTGATTTTTGATAATTATTTTTTCTGACGGTGTTATGCGCTTTTATCCGTATAAAAATTACTTTGTATGGAAGAAAATGCGTGATAGCGTCAGCAAGAAAATAATCAAAAATCAACGCGATTTTTTAGCCACTTCAAACATGCACTTTATTATACTCGAATTTTATGAGCTATAAAACTGCATGCCAAAAATTATTCTAGAAATTAAAATTAAAATGCCTGGAATTGGGATGAAAAGTTTGTGGAATTTTAATCATTTTTTTTACAAAGTCTAAAAATTGGATTCTTATGGTATTTGTTGGCGTTGGTGATATACTTTTATTTAAAAATAATAAACATTAAACAAACAAAAGATAAATAGTCAAAAATGTTCAAAATGTTGAGGTGCTATCGTTTTGTTGCGGGCAATATTCATATTAACGAGGGGTTTCTAATGTAACACAATACTGCATTTAATAAAACTTAACTCCGTTCAATTTATGCTAATATTTAAACTAGAATAGTTGGAATTTAAAGTGTTGTATTACTCAGGCTCACTAATGATTATGCTCTTGATGTTTATTCATTTGTGTTTAAACCTAAATATTTTCTTAAAACATAACCATGCGATCAATTCTCCTTCTATGAAAAATTCAAACCGGGTGAAAGTTTTTTTTGCCTTTATCATTTTGAGCGATTGTCAATCATTAAAGGCTTTTCCATTATATGCAGCAAGAAATTAGCCCTGTTCGCGTACGCACTAACCAGTAAAATCCAGTAGTAATTTTACTGATTTTTAATGGATGGAGTTTTCGTACGTAAAAACTTGCAAGAAACTAGCAAAAGAGGGGAAATTGAGAGAGCCAAAATGAAAGCTGAACTTGCAAGTTTTACTCGATTTTTACTGGATAAATTTTTGACTAGTAACTATTTGCTAGTAAGAAAAATAGCTGATGGCATGATGCTTAATGAAATTCACATTACCAAAATAATTGTTTGTGGTGCTTTTAGAGTTGCAATTGACAAAATAAACCTATTTTTCTTAGAAAATTGCGTCGGAAAATAACAAATTAATTAGCTGTTCATAAAACTTGCAACTTCTTGCTGGTTTTGCGTTTTCGTACTTTCTTGCATATTTCTCTCATTGGGAGTAAATATTGGCTTACTCTCCGAAATTTGGTTACTGGCAAGTTACTGGATATTTTTTGCTGAAGAATACGAGCGCTTGAATATCAGCTTTTGGAACGTTCGCCAAACTTAGCAGCACAAACGCTGATTACTGGGCCTTGCAAAGGATGGTTCAATGCTTAGAGAAGCAAACAAATTTACCAAGAAAGAAAGTTGCCACAATTTTTATTTTTTCCAATTTAAATTTTTTATTTTCTGTATTTCACATGGCACGCTTTGATTTAGACGACAAAATCAGAACAGTTTTTGACACTTTCGATACCAGAAGCAACAACAAAATACACGCAAATGTTGTTTTTGCTCTAAGGGTACTACCTGTTTAATATACCTTGAGTAAAACCGTTCGCTCAACTCGACGGCCATCAGTTATTTTTTGCAGTTTGTCGACTTTATAAATTTGAAATTTTCAAGGCAATTCAAATGCCAAATAAAAGTAAAACAGAAAATAAATAGATAAAAATATTAAATTTTGCTTTTATTGGAGACTGAAAGTGCGAATGCATGTGTGAGATTGAAAATTTGAAAACTTTTTTTAATGTTATACTATGGCTGCGTTTCTTTATACATTCCGGATAATCCCATTTCACAGGAACGTTCTAAAGAATAAATAAACAAAAAAGCTTATTCCAAACGTTCAGAATGAATAAAGAAATGCAGCCTATGTCTCCATTGAGAGATTTATCCATTAAGATTTAATAAATCCAGTTGCTAAATCACAACCGTCTCCATTACCACAACGAGATATGTTTGACGTTCATATTTTTAAATATTTGACGTTTGCTTATATATGATTTTATAAATACAGTTGCGGGCATTGATATACAGACAGAAAAAAGGAAGGTACCAAGCGGTTGGTTATTGGCTTCTTATTCGTGGTAAATATGTATGTATAATATATAGTTTGGAAAGTGTAAAGAATGGTACCATATTCCGAATCATTTTCCCGAATTTAAGAAAAATTATCAAAACGGTAAAAAACATTTGCGGAAAGAAAAATTTTTGTAGAACTCTCTTATTCATAGGAGGGAACCGAAAATCCAATCGTGGGCCTTTGGCATATCATGAATACGAACTGAGTTCTAGAGGATGTTCGGTGTAATGTTATCGAAGCAGAACCATTACCGAAATTTATAAATTTTTTGTCGCAGCGCGTAAATGACTTATAGAAAGCGGAGAAGACTCTGCATGATATTACTATAAAACATTTCTTCTAAATTTTTAGTTTTTAAAATAATATTTTCTTAATTTATTACAACCAAAGTTATGTAAATATGTATTACTAATTTTCCTCCCAAACTAACAAAAA